AGTTCACCCCCCCGCCTCCTCCGGGCCGCAACAAAATGTCCAAGTCTTGACTGGTCCGTGGTAATAAAAGGTTGGGGACCACTGGTGTAAATGACTAATAAACCATTTTAAGGTGCTTCAAACTTTCCATCTCTTTTATTTAAACAATGAAAAGAAGATTAAAAAAATACGTTTAAATCAGGGATGCCCAAAGTGTGGCTCCGGGGCCATTTACAGCCCTCTGGATGATTTTGTTTGGCCCTTCTGTCCACAATTGAAGAATGGAGAGAATTTGTGATTAATTTGAGATTTTTGCAGACAGATAAAATCTTGTCAAACATTTATTTAAGTATTAAGGTTCCTGTTTTACCTGATGATGCCCGGCGGCTGCGACAGCGTGAGCAGCAGCTCCCAGGAGGCGGGGCTCCAGACGGTAACCACTTCCTGGAAGCCGACAGCCAGCAGCGAGCCGTCGGCGGAGAAACAGCAGCGCTGCGGCGTCAGGCCGTGATAGCCTGACACGAAGTCACATGTCCAGGAAGGACCGCCGTCTGCAGACCGGACAGTCGGATTGTTACCAACTAAAGTTCCAGATTAACGGCGAAATTAACAGATTAATTAATCTGACAACTAACAGATGAATTAAGTTTTTTATTATTATAAAATAAGTTTTTATTATTATTGTCTTTTGTTCTATTTGATTGTTTTGACATTTTTCATTTTGGAAGAAACTAAAGGAAAAAAAAGAAACCATGAAAAGAAATGAAGAAAGACAAAGTTTCAGATTTTAGTCGTCCCTCCATAGAGTCGTGACGTTGGGGTCAAAGGTTAATCTTGGTATGGAAACCAGCAGGCCTCAGATTAAAGACAGATTACTGTCAGTCTGGACCCGGCCCGGCCAGATTCTCACCGTCCGGGTGGGCTGGCGGCGCCAGCCTCCAGGCTTTGAAGAGTCCGTCTCGGCCGCAGGAGACCAGCAGGGAGGTCTGGCCACGGGCCGCCGGGTCAAAGGTCACGGCCGTAATCCGGACCTCGTGGGGTGTCGAGACGGTGGTGTTCAGAACGAAGCTGGAGCGAAGACAGAGACGTCAGAAGTTCTGGAGGTTCCGGACCGCCCGGTGAGGAAGATCTCGGTACCTCTGGCTCGGCTCATCAAACGCCCACAGCTTCAGATTAAGCTCCGCCTCCACCGTTTCCTGCTTCCGCTCCTCCACCGTGGCCAACCATGCGCCGGCGCCATCCAGCGTCGCCATGACAACCTGGAACTGGTCCAGACCCTCCTGGTGAATGAACTCCTGCTGCACCACGTCCAGCTGGGGGGATTATTTCATCACAGATTATAATCCACCAGATTATTACATCACAGATTATAATCCACCAGATCAAGCACTCATATCTCTAAATTATAAACTCAGGTCTCCAGATTAAACCTTCAGGTCTCCAGATTAAACCGTCAGGTCTCCAGATTAAACCGTCAGGTCTCCAGATTAAACCGTCAGGTCTCCAGATTAAACCGTCAGGTCTCCAGATTAAACCTTCAGGTCTCCAGATTAAACCGTCAGGTCTCCAGATTAAACCCAGATTAAGCGTTTGGCTCCAGTCTCACGTTGAACAGCAGTCTGTCTCTCTGGAGGGAGTAGAACTGCAGGTGACCCGGTTTCCCATTCAGAACCAGAGCTTTGCTGCGCGGGTCGACCATCAGGTCCGTCTGGACGGCTTCGCCTGCAGAGACGCATGGAAACAACGGCGTTGCTACGGCAACCAGATCAGGAGACGAGGTGAATTAATTAAAACATCTCCGCTTTATTCCAACCAATCAGGTTGAGCATCTCTCAGACGATAAAAGTTTTTAAAATGAGAATAAAATGATCAGAATCTGAGCTGACCTTTGACCAGACCCTGAATGATGGACGACACTTTCACACAACTCTGGATGAGCACGATTTCTAGACAGGAAACAGAAAAATGTCACAACGAAACGCCGCAGCAGATCAATAAAGACACAATCCGAAAGTACACTAAGAAAGTACACCCTGCTTCACTTCCTGGGTTTCTGAAAGGAGAATAAAACTTCTGGGACAAAAGTCCTCTGGACAGATGAGACAAATACAGACAGCAGGATGACCAACCTGGCCAGAACCGATCAGAACCGATCCGATCCGATCAGAACTCACCGGCTCTTAGCAGATATTGATAAAACTTACGAAAAACTCGGATTCAAAGATATATTAGCAAATGTAGGTTAAAGCAGATTTTCTGTTTTATTGATAAAATTATTTCATTTCTAAATAACTGAGGAACAGGAAGCTGCAGAGTTTAACTTAAAAATATTTTCTGGGGGCGCTAGTGAGCACCGTATGGAGTAGACGTGTTCTTTCCTGGCTCCTCACCACTTAAAAGTAATTTCTTATTCACATTGATATTTCAGTCATATTTCGGTTTCCCCGTGCTCTGACCGGCTGCTTTGACACTGAGGATGACTGAACCCACGGCGGATAAAGGAAAGAAGCAAAGATAAGGCTTCGGAAGAGACGACTGGGCAGCACCTGCTGGAGCTACGCAAGCGACAGCCGCACCAGAAGCTGAGCCAGCATGTGAGCCTGATACGGGATCCTCTGCCATCCTTGCTGCAATAAATAATATGAGCAAGACAATGAATGATAGATTTAACGATCTTGAAGCAGCACTAGCTTCAACCCAGGCATCTTTATTAAACCTCGTCAACCGGATTAAGGAGGTGGAAGAAGCTTCATCCAATCACGAGGGCCGCCTTTCCAAACCGGAGGAGACCAGGATGCAGGCGGAGAACGAAGCTCTACGCGTGAAAATGATCGATTTAATATTCTGCCGCCGTTCCAGGCGGCAGAATATTAATGATAGCACGGATTCACTACTTCCATGTGGAGGAGACGATTCTACGACTGGCCCGTCAGCAGTTCCTCCTCCGTCACCAGGATGAGCCGGTCTACATCTTCCCTGACTACCCGGCGGAGGTGACGAGGCAGCGGCAGGATGCTGGAGCGAGGTGCGGCGTCCTGTATCCGCTTGTCCCCATCGGCTCTACGGATAAGACGTTCTCCTCTCCGCGGGATGCAGAGGTCTTTGCAGAAACTTTACAGAGTCACTGAGCATCTGGAAGGCAGAGACACTGTGGTATGTGCTTCTTGCTTCGGGTCACTGGGGACCGGAATGACTTTTATAACAGCTTGATGTTTAATCTAAGTTTGTAAAATTTGAGAGGGTGAGGGAGCCTTTTTGTGGAGTTGGTTCTGTATTTGTATGGCCCATGCGGCCCGGCTTCCTCTATCTGGTTATGTGGGGCTCTTATTCTCGCTTTGTTTGGGAAAGTGGGGTGGGGGGTAAGTTTTTGTTGGTTTCTTTTGTTTAAAAAAAATATTTTATGTGTTTCAATACTCGGTCAGGCCAACACATGAGTGCACCGAAGCCATTCTGTTAAAAAGTCTCTGTGTATCATAACATCAGTGCAAGGCGGTGGCATAACTTTACCAGCTGGAATGTTAGGGGCATGTCTTAAAAAGGGCTAAAGCACTTTCTCATTTAAAGAGCTTATCGGCGGACATTATACACCTTCAAGAAACACACATTAGACCAGGCAGGGGGGGGTCACTGCGATGCAGCTGGACCAACCAAGTTTTTCAGTCCACCTTTTCAGGTAAAGCTTGAGGGATGGCACATTTCTACTGTGACTGACACAAATGGCAGATTTATATTGGTAACGGGCTATTTATATTCCTTTCATATCACGCTTCTTAATGTATATGGTCCTAATTTTGATGACCCAGGCTTCTTTAGAAAAATATTTAATTTGGTTCCTGACCTGGCTGATGCACATCTAATTTTGGGAGGGGATTTTAACTGTGTGCTTGACGCCCACCTGGACAGGTCAGCTCGAACGAGACAGCCACCCTCCTCTGTGGTTTTGAACACCCTCATGACCTCAACAAATCTGGTTGATGTTTGGAGACTGCAGCATCCGGTGGAGAGGGACTACTCCTTTTTTTCAAATATGCATAAGTCCTATTCAAGAATAGATTATTTTTTACTTGATTCTAAATTAATACCTAATGTAATATCTTCCAAATATCATACGCTTTTAATCTCGGACCACTCTCCAGTTTCACTGACTCTCGATCTTAACCATAAGAAACAACAATATTTCTGGCGTTTTCACCAATCCCTGCTATCAGAGGAGACATTCTGTAAATTCCTAGATGATAAAATTTCTGAATTTCTAGACACTAACGATACAAAAGATGTTACAGATTCTACTTTATGGGAAACTTTTAAAGTTGTGACCAGGGGTCATATTATTTCTTTTGAAAAGTTCCTGAAAAACAAAAGCCAGAAACGCCTCTCAGAAACTGAGACTGAACTAGCATGCTTAGAATCTAACTACAAGTCCTCTTCCAATCCTTCAATTTTACAAAACATTCTTGTATTAAAGTATGAATATAACACTATTCTGTCCAGGAAGGTGCTTGATCAGATGTTTAAAATTAAGCAGAAGCACTTTGAGCTGAGCTGAGTGATAAGCCCCATAAACTGTTGGCTCGTCAGCTGCGGGGCTTGCAGGCCAACAGGGCAATACATAAAATTAAGTCCAAGGCAGGAAAAATTATAATTGAACCAAGAAACATAAATGACTCATTTAAGGAATATTATGAGCAACTATACATGTCCAAAGCAAAAGGAAATACCTCAAACTGGCTTAAAGATCTAAATCTCCCAAAGATGAGTGAAGCCGTGCGAGAGGCACTCAACGCAGACATCACTGTGGAAGAGATTGTTGATGTAATCAGTCATTTCCCAATGCCAAAGCCCCAGGACCAGATGGTTTTGGAACTGAGCTCTATAAAAGATATGCCCAGAAGATTGCTCCTCTCCTCCAGAGGATGTTCGTTCACTCTCTTGACTCAGGAAAATTTCCCCCCACTATGTATGAAGCTAATATCACATTACTACATAAAGAAGGCAGGGAGGAGACAGAGCTCTCATCATATCATCCTATTTCATTATTGAATTCTGACATTAAAATATTCGCTAAAGTACTGGCAAATAGGCTAAATAAACATATCTCTTCTATTGTTCATCCGGACCAAACGGGCTTTGTCCCTAAAAGGTTTTCATTTTTTAATATCAGACGGTTAATGAACATTATGTATCATAAATTTGACAGTAAGTTTAAGGGAGCTGTTCTTTGCCTGGATGCTGAAAAGGCATTTGACCAACTGGAGTGGCCTTACATTTTGACTGTACTTGAGGAATTTGGGTTTGGTAGTAAATTTGTGTCGTGGATTAAAACAATGCATGTTCAACCTTCTGCCTCTGTTCTCACAAACCAGGACAAGTCAGAGCCCTTTCTACTGCATCGGGGAACCCGTCAGGGTTGCCCCCTTAGTCCTCTGCTTTTTGTGGTTGCTATGGAGCCCCTTGCCATTAGTATTAGAAAACACTCCCTAATCAAACCAATTCAATTGGGAAACATTGACCATCACATTTCTTTGTATGCTGACGATGTTGTTGTTTTTGTATCACATCCTGAGCAGTCAGTGCCAATTCTCCTAGACCTTATTCAGTCATTTGGCGAGATTTCAGGTTATACTATTAACTGGCAGAAGAGTGAATTTGTCATTAGGTGCTAGACTTACTTCTGAATTCTTAGATAACCTTTTATTTAAGATAACTGACAAAGTGAAATAACTTGGAGTTATTCTGCCTAAAGACCCCAAACAAATTTTCAAATTTAACTTTTTAGAAAAAGTGGATAATCTTAGGAAAGATGTTGATAAATGGAGAACACTCCCACTCTCAATGATGGGCCGCATTAACGCTATTAAGATGGTGTCCTTGCCTAAATTTTTATATCTTTTTCAGGGTCTGCCTATTTTTTTAACAAAGGCCTTTTTTAAATCATTGGACTCAATAATTTTGCCTTTTGTCTGGGGCTTTAAAGCTCATAGAATATCAAAAACTCATTTACATAAACCAAGAGAGATGGGGGGGTTAGGATTACCCTACTTCCAGCACTATTATTGGGCAGCGAATGCAAGGGCCTTGGTATACTGGCAGGAGGGTGATGCTCAGGAACTTCCTGCAAACTCTCCCCCTTGGGTGGCTATTGAAAGAAGTAGCGTTATAAACAGTTCTCTTCTGGCACTTCTTTTCTCAGCACCAATATCTCCTACAAATAGTGGAATAAATAATTTGATTGTTTTAAATTGTTTTAAAATATGGAAACAAATTAATGTATACTGTAACCTACCAGAGACCTCAGTTCATGCCCCAATTTACCGTAACCATGCTTTTCCCCCATCGCTATCGGATATATAATTTAAAAATTGGAGACTTAAAGGTCTAATTACGCTGAAAAATTTGTATATTCACAAAAAGTTTGCTTCATTTGCAATGTTGGATTGTTTCTCTCTTCCAGATGCAGATTTTTTCAGATATTTGCAAATTAGAAATTATGTTTGAATTAACATCCCGAATTTTGTATCTCTTCCGGAAGAAAATAAGATATACAAAATGCTGTTGGGCTCTCCAGAATCAAAAAATAATAATTTCAAGCTTTGTTGACATCTTTGCAGAGCAAATCAATTTCACCACAAACTCCTTGAGGGTTGCGTGGGAGGAGGAGCTGGGTTTGCAGATTGGGAGTGAGGTCTGGGAAGAGGGTCTTGGGAGGATCCGGTCATGTTCTATCAATGTAAGACATCAGTTAATTCAGTTCAAGGTGTTTCATAGACTCCACTATTCTAAAATGAAATTGCACAGAATATTCCCCTCAATATCTTCAAAATGTGATAAATGTAAGTCCGCTGATGGCTCCCTGGCGCATCTGTTCTGGTCATGCCCCAAACTCTTCCAATATTGGTGTGACATTTTTAACTTGTTTTCCGAAGTGTATGGATGCACGTTGGTTCCAGATGCCCAGATTGCATTGTTTGGATATTCTCCTTCACTTAGGAGCCGCAGCATTTCTATGCAAACGACTGTGATGTATGGAATGGTAACGGCTAAGAAAGTAATATTAAGATTGTGGAAAACTGACAAGATTCCTCAGTTTAAAATGTGGTTAAGTGATTTCACTGAGATTCTTCATTTGGAGAAACTGCGGTATGATGTTTTGGGCTCCACTAATAAGTTCTGTAGTATCTGGCAGCCGTTTTTGGACCTTCTTTCTCAGACTGACCCCGACGCTCGCTCAGCCTCTTAGTATGCCACCTAAAGTGTAAATGGTAACCAGTGCAGTGTAACCAGTTATTTCGATAACTGCCTTGACTTGTTTTTATTTTATTTTATTTTTAGTTATTGTATGTTTTTATTGGTACTGCTGTATTGGTAAGAGTATATTTTTCTTATACAGTAATTTGTTAAATATGTATATGCTTCATACTCTTGTGTATGATTTATGTATGCTGTATTTGAAAACTCTATATACATTTTAAAAAATATATATATTATTTTCATGTATTTGTTCAGACTGCCACTAAGTTGTGACAGTTTGTTATAAGATAGATAATTTGTGAAAAAGTCTGTCTGTTCCCAGTGATAACTATAAACAACCAACCAGAGCCAGGAGGCGGGGCTTAGCGCTGTCAATCAACCTCAAGTACTTTCTGCTAAATGTGTTGATAGTGGAGAAACTACTCACTACTCTGTGAACCCAAAGAGGGTGTACTTTCTTTTTGCTAAGAGTGTTTTCTGTTAGTTACTGTTGTCGCTGTGGGAGGTGCAGAACAGCGCCCCATCTGGTGACACGGCGATGTGAGTGATGGCGGCGCCGAGGCGCGGCAGGAAGTCCTGCTGGCTCTCCTGCTGGTACCGCCACTGGACCAGAACCGACTCCACGCCGCCGCTCAACAGGTTGGAGCCTGGTGGGAACAACGGCAACACAGAGGGTCAAAAATCACCAGCGGGCGGAGGGAGGGACGCGCTGCGGCGGAGGGAGGGTGGCGCTGCGGCGGAGGGAGGGTGGCGCTGCGGTGGCGTTACCTTCAGGAGTGAAGCACAGCGCGCGCACGGTGCTGTGGTGCCAGTGCAGGGTGCGGTAGGTGTACTCCCTCTTCTGGTCGAAGTTTCTCCTGAAAGGTCGCAGAGGTCAGAGTTCACCAGGAGCGGGAAGTTCAACCCAGACCAGCAGGGCTCACCAGAGTCGGATCTTTCCGTCTTCGTGTCCCGTGGCGATGCAGTCGTCCGTCGGGTGGCAGGCGACGCAGGTGAACGTGTTCCTGCGGCCGCTGCAGCTGTTTTCCTTCAGAGAGAATCTGGAAGCAGCAGAAAAATTATCCAAAAAAACTATTTATCATAAAAAAATCATCAGCTATCGTTATCATTTATTATTAACTATTGTAAAAAAAATTATAATTTATCATTATCATTTATTGAGAAAAGTTTAGTCATGTTACAAAATGTGCTTAATATTCTTGATAAACTTAATGTTTTTTACAAACAGACAAAAATGTTTATATTAACTTGGCTGCCTGGCTTTTTCAAAAATAAAATATATCAAACAATTAATCAGACAGTCGAACCGACCTGAAGGACTTCTGCTTCTTGAAGAAGAAGATCTGCAGCTGAACGCCGTTCGTCGAGGCCACGTACTCTCCCTGTGGGGAGACGGCAACCAATCAGAGAGCAGAACAGGGCCGGGGGCGAGAGAGAGACACAGAGAGAGAGAGAGACGCACCGCTCTGCCGAAGGCGACGGTCGCCGGGTTGGCGCTGACGTCAGAGAGCACGGCGGAGAGGTCAGAGGTCTCCACCAACTGGCCGGCAGTCTGAGGGAGATGAACGGCGAGGAGCTGGAGAGAATCTGCAACCAGAGAGAGAGATGAGATTTTATTTACAAATTTAGATAATATTTATTCAGTAATTCTGTTTTTATGTATATAAAATGGCTGAAGATTCAGTTAAAAACGCTGTTTCTGTTTCCATATTTATCTGAATATAAACTAACAGATTCCTTCATGTCAACATTTCATTACGTTTCATGCTTGTCCACCAGGCGGCGCTACGTCCTCCATGTTCAAAATGTCATAAAGTTTCATATTTTTAAACAGATGTTTGAAGAGTTTAACATGTCCATTCTGATTATTTAATTACATAAATTTTAACACAATAATTTTTTCTTTTACATACAAATGTTGCAGTTGGAACCTTTATGTTCACTCGTTTCCAGTACATCCATAAATCTGATGCACAGCTACATCCGCTAACAGGAGCGATGACGCCGCTTCATTTCTGCTTCTAAACAATCTGATTGGACGCTGAAAAAGACCATCGGTGTGTTCAAGATGTGCTAAAAAGAGTTTACCTAGCAGAGAAGCCAAGGTAGCCTAAAATAGCACCTCAATGCTGACATGCAGCAGTTAATGCTAATGTTAGCATCCACAGTCCACATTTCTTAAGAAGCTTCATGAATGATCTTGTGCTGAAGAACCTGGATAAGAGATTAAAAGCTAGGAATATCTTTGTTGTAAGATGTCTACCATGGTCTTAACTTTACGTCTTAATGCAATAAAAAAACAAAAAAAGCTGAAAAATATTCAGATGGAAGTGTGACAAAGAAAGTTTTAGACCAAAACTTCTCGTTCGGCTGGAAGGAACTCAAACCTACCCAAAGTTTTGTATCCTTTCGTTGGCGTGGCGATGAAGATGACGCCATCATGGCTGGCCGAGGCGTAGATGGAGCAGATGGGATACCCGATGACGTACGTCTGAAACAGGAAACAGGAAGAGAAGCTCTGTTAGAAACAGCCTGGTCCAGGTGGAACCAGCTCAGACAGGAAGTTATAATCTGAAGGTTTAATCAACCTGAAGGAACCTTCGGATGATGGAGGAGAAGGTTTTACCTTAATGAGGATCCCATCGGTGAAGTCCCAGAGCCTCACGGTGCCATCTGCTGAGCAGGAGTAAGCCTGCAGGTTTAACCACAGAATTCATTTCTAATAAAGCATCAAACATTCAATCAGTTCAGAAAGGTAAGCTTTAGAGATCCAGAACATCCAGGAGTTTATTTCAGTTTGCTTGTTTTTGAACTAAGTTACTGAAATTAATTCATTTTTCATGAGATTCTAATTCATTGAGATGTATCTGGATTTCAATACAAAACATGACTGACCTGCTGCTTTCACATCATCAGACACAAGATTATATATCAAATATGATTTTATACGAGTCACTCAGAATACATTTAAATCATAATAATCAGAGATTTGTGGTTTTCTTGCTCTGGTTTATGGCATGGAAACTGATTTGATTTTTACTTTTGCACTGAGAAAAGAAACAACTACATCCTTCTTTTATTTTACTTTTCTTCCTGAATGTTTTCATTCCTCAGGTGACTAGCATGGCTTCAGCAGCAGATGGATTACTGAGGGGTTCCAATGAAGTGAAGTCAGGTTATCTGCAGCTTTTCTCTCCCATCAGCCGTGGCTAACACAACACAAAGAGTTCAGCACATCTGGATGTTTACCTGCAGATGGTTGGAAGGTCTGAGCAGCACACCGGTCACCAGGTCCGTGTGGCCCCGCAGCTCCTGGACACACTCCTCAGTGACGGTACTGAACACCTTCACATTGTGTCCCGAGGCGCAGAGAAGGAACCTGCGGACACAAAACATCGTCTTTCGGCTTTAATGGCAGGTTTTATAGTCATAATTGTAGTAACTCGGAATTCAGGCAGGTTTTATGGACAAAGTTTCGTAGTAATGTAGATTTTATAGTCATAATTTTAGAGTAACGCATAATTCTGGCAAGTTTTATTTACATAATTTCACTGTAAAGTTGCATTCAGGTAAGTTTTTGAGTTAATAGCACCATACAGGCAGAAGCGCAGAATGTAGCATTAGCTGCTAACGCTTAGACATCCGCTTTCCCGTTAACACCAACTAAATATCTGACATTAGCTTTATAAACCGGACTAAAATAAGTCACTAACCTGGAGTCGGAGCTTATAGCCGGCTCCCTGAAGGTTATATTACTGCCACCTTGGTGAACCACGCGGATTTCAGCCTGTTCAACCATGTTTTCATACCGGCTGACGTTATATCCGCCCGGTGTCTCTACGTAAAGCTTTCGGTTGGAACCTTACCGCCACCTGGCGAGCGGAAATGGCACTGCAGATGAAATGTTTTGAACGTAATCGACATGGCTACGTTGGGACGGTCGTGTCGGACGTGTTCTGGCATTATGGGATGAAAAGAAGCGAAATGATCAGCATCTGTTCGATGAAGAAGACTCGGACTTCCTTTCATTCACTAACCGACTCATCGAGATTTCTTTTACTTCAACTATCAGCATGTTATTATTATTGTTTCACTCTGTGTGAATGCTCATGCAGAGGTTTGGAGCCATTCATAAGCTGCAAATGTTGTAGTATGGATGTTTTTTTTAAAGGTCTTATTGGCTCTAGTGGCCTTTATTTGATAGTTAATCGACAGGAAAGTTGGTAATGAGAGAAGAGGAAAGACATGCAGCGAAGGTCGCCAGACCGGGAATCGAACATGCGACGGCTGAGTCGAGGACTAAGGCCTCCATGCATGGGTTGTGCTTAAACGCTGCACCACCACAGCACACCCAGTAGTACGGATGTTTAATGATTAATTAATGCCGGTGGGATTACATAAAACATACTGCAGAAAGTTTAAAAAAGAAGAATTGGGAGGACAAGTTTGGATTTGTTGTGGATTTTCATTGGGTCAAAATGAAAATGTTTCTATTTGTTAAATTTTTCAGGTGATGAGATGAAATAGTTTAAAGAGTCACTGAAAGGAGAGCAGACCAGATGATAGACCTTATTATGTCTGTCAGGCAATCAACCACTTTCTCCACTAGGTGTCAGCAGACCACAGTTTAAATTATTAACCGACTATGAAAAGCAAGTATCTATATCAGGGGTCCCCAAAGTGGGTCCAGGAGGCCCGGCATCCTGCATGTTTTAGTCTCTCCCTGGTTTAACGCACCTGGATCAAATGATGGCTGTTCGAGGCCTAAGAGGAACCCTGACCTGCTGAAAACGTTGTTACCACCAGGGAGAGAACTGAAACATGCAGGATGCCGGGCCTCCAGGACCCACTTTGGACACCCCTGATATAAATCAACGAAATTTACTGTTTTCCTTTCAAAACATTTTAAGGATATCATCTCTGTTGAGGAATAAATTATGACACCCTGAAATGTATTCAACTTAAAATGGCAACATTTAGCCACTGTGCTTTGAAGAAAGTGTTTCCTGTTTAACCTCTAATGTTTAGTTTCTTCTGACTGTCGGTGTCAGACAGAGAAAGTTATCAACATTATAATTCATTATGACTGATATGAAACCAACACCTCAGGTCAACTCTCACTTTCAGTCACACATCATGTTGGTTTTATTCCCGATATTAATCTGTGACTCACTGTGTGATGTCTAAAGTTACTCAATAATTTATTAAAATTCAGAGGAAACAGAGACAGCAGCAGTCCCACAGCATGACTCCTCCAGGAAATTTATTTGTTCAAGCTATCTTTGTGTTAAAGTGGCTGTTATAGCTAGCCAGCTAAATATTTAGCTCCAAACTAAACATTTAGCTAACAAACTAAATTCAAAGTAAATATTTAGTTAGTGATATAAATATTTAGCTTAGAGCTAAATAATTAAAAAAATATTTTTACTTCTATCCTAAATATTTAATTTTCAAACTAAATATTTAGCTCCAGACTACTTAGATTAAAGTTTGCTTTAATCTAAATATTTTGTTATTGAGCTAAGTTATTTGGGAGCTAAATGTTTAAGAGAAGGCTAAATATTCAGTTAGTCAGCTACTTAGTTGGAACCTAAATATTTAGATAATAAGCCAAATATTTAGTCAGTAAGTTAAATATTTAGTTGACTAGCTAAATATTTAGATCTGAAACTTCATAGTTATCTAGAAAATTAGTGCAAGTAAATATTTAGTTAGTGGGCTACATATTTAGTTGGAAGATAACTATTTAATTAGCAAGCTAAATATGTAATTAGTAAGTAAATATTTAGTTAGTGAGGTAACTAGTTTGGAGCTAAATGTAAACACAAAGGAACAATAATTAATGGCACTTTGGGAGCGCCATAGATTCTGATTTCCTGTGTTTTTGGTTGAGGTTTCTGGTTTTATTACTCTGCTGTGCTGTTTTTCTGTCGGAGTGGAACAGCGGGGGGTGAAACCTGCGAGCTGACGCGGGGCGGGGGATGGGCCGGCTTCCTGCTGAGCACCAGCAGCCAGTAAATCAGCTCTCTTCCTGAACGCAGCGCACTGTAAAACTGAAACCTCTGACAGAATCAGGCGCACATGCTGGCAGGGACTGACGGGGAAACGGCGCTCTGACACCCAGGATCATCTGAAGAGTAGCACAGCCAGCTTTCTGAGTGTGACCTCTGACCCTGAGCCAGAAGCAGAATGAGCCAGTGGAAGCAGGTCCAGCAGCTGGAGATGAGGCTCCTGGAGCAGGTGGACTACCTGTACGATGACAACTTCCCCATGGACATCCGGCAGGGCCTGGCCGGCTGGATCGAGTCCCAGGACTGGTGAGTCCGACTCGGGTCGGTTCTGCTGCATCGACTGCAACGTGGATCTGAACATGGCAGCATGTCTGCTTAAAATGTAAAGGAGTGGATCAAATTAAATGGATGAAAAGTCTCACAAGTTTGAGAATAATTCAACTTTTTACAGTAAATATAAAATTATCTGGAGAGGATTTGGGTTTGAAGCATCAATTTGTTCTTTTATTTTGAGAATATTTAATTATCTTCCTCAGAGATGAAATTCCTGTAACCTCACGTGATTCCTGCTTCATGTTTTCATGTTATTAGCTGGAATTAAGCCAAGTTTAAACTCCTGCTGTTAGGACAGCCGGTCCTCCAGAAACACAGAAACATTTTACAGTTAAACTTTTGCTTCTGTTTTGTCTCGTTTGATTTGACCTGAGAGTAAAACCTGTGGTCAGGTTTAATAACAGAGCAGCTTCTGTAAAACATCTATGATCCTCCTTAGTAAAAATACACTTCAGATTCAAACTATTTATATTTTTACTTCTCTGATATATTCCCAACAGAGCGAAACTCCAACAGGAAATTCATGAAATAATATTTTCTATTCAGAATATTCTCAGATTTTCCTCACCGAGGAGCAAAGACAAAAACGACATCGTCTTTAGTGAAATCTTCATTGTCTCTTCACAAAATCATTTGTTTTCTGCTTCTTTGTTCAGTGTTAAAGATAAAGACGATAAAAACAGAGATTCTCGTTTTAAATATGAAACTTTCCTCAAACTGATTCATTTACAGTTTGTTTTAATGGGGTCAGAAAATGATCAGATGTTGAACTAAAACAAGGGAAAATCATTTAAAGTCTGAAGAAAAACTTGATAAATAATAATGCTAATCTGTGTTTTGTGTGTTTATTAAAAATAAAAAATAAAGTGAGAAACAAAACCAACCGATTTGTTCCGGCAGCTGTGATTTGATCTTAACTAAATATTACAAATAACTTTTACTTAATCTGAAACTAAATCAAACTTTCCCTTTGATATTTTTAAGAGCTTTGGTTTCAGGTTTTGTGATAATATAATGTAGTTTTTCTAAAAGTAACCACAGTGTGATGAAACGTCACAGTTTGTTTCGGTTTTTCATGAATATTTTTACTGTCATATAAAATATGATCATCATTGATAAGTCAAAGATGATCATATTTTATAGATCATATATTGACGTTTTCTCTCCTTTGTTGGTTTAGAAATCTTAGCATTAGGTCAAAATGCCCTCAGCAGAATAATACATGCTAGTAATAAGATCTTAGGAGTTGAACAAAGCTCTGTTACAGAACTGTTCAGTAAACGGATCATCAGTAAAC